TGTTAAAGTCAAATGACTTGTTTGAAAATATTCGGTGATTCTGTTGGCGTTTAAATTTGTTTAACATATATAGATATATTTAAGCTTCAAACCCAAAATATACAGAATTTAAACAGAAATTCATGCTGCGACTTAATGAAATGTCATGTTAGCGTGATTTGAGTACATAAGATCATTTTAATATTTGTGTCATTATTTTGGCTGAATATCGCTTTAAAATTTAAATGTACAAGCAAACCTTAATGTGTGAAGGCTACTATTTCATGAAATCGTACAACTTAATACTAGATTCACAGGATATGACATGTTCTACATATTAATCCTTGTTGTATAGACCTCCCGCGATGACAGGTGTCATATTTCCCAATTATCCCCTACAAATGTGTTTAATGAATGAAATTACAGAACAATTTTGGCTAAAATATAAAACATAGTATTAAGATACAGTATGTGGCATGTTCGAATTTAAAATTACTCTAATTTATTACATGAAGGAGTTTCCATTATTACTCATAAAGAAAAAATAATTGCTCAACATAAGACAAAATACAGTACAGGCTGTAGGGTACTAAGTCATTGTTTCCATTTAAAATTATAGTATTTTCCTACATGCTCTTCCCATGCTATCTACGGCCTGCATCGTAATCAATCTTATCAATTGGTCAATACCAGCAGTTATAATAATTAACAAATTCTGTAAGGGAATTGTTTTTTGGGGAAATCTGATAATTCATATACTTTAGACTAACGGTCTGAATACAATTGTATTGCTTTGAAAAGTGTAAATCATATCTTAAATTAGTGTTGTACAGCTAAATCCTACCGTATGTTGAGGCCTTTAAATGTTTCAGTTTATTAACAGCATGCAACATAAAACGTTTTAAGCGAGGGCAATTAAAATGCTTGAGGAAATATAACTGTTAGTTCTAAATTTATTTCCCTTAAAATGGTTGGTCTTTTCAACTGTTTAAGCTTTCATATTTTAATCAGCTGAAATATAAAACAAGAACCGGTTGAACCGGGTGATGCTCCCTGAGAAGGTTCTGGACACAGGAAAGTATAAAAAAAATGAACAAAGGGCAAAAACTCCAAAATTAGGCAAAGCGGAGTTATGTTTCTTTGCACTGCACTTCTATTCAATGAGATCTATCTATCTATAAAGTTTCCTGATGATATCAGAATTATGTCCAAGGTAAAAGTCAAAGTGTAAAAATGAACAAAGGGCAATAACTCCAAAATTAGACCAGGCTTTGTTTAGGTTCTTTAAGCATTGCAATTCTATCCAATTATATCTAGCTACCTACAAAGTTTCATGTTGATATCTCTAATAGTTTTAAAGTATTGTCCAGGACAAAAGTCAAAAAGTAAAAATAAACAAAGGGCAATTACTTCAAAGTAAGGCAAGGCAGAGTAATGATTCTTAAGCACTGCACTTCCACCCAATGAGACCTATCTATCTACAAAGTTTCATGTTGATATCTCTTATAATTTTAGAGTAATGTCCCAGACAAAGTCAAAGTGTCAAAATGAACAAAGGGCAATAACTCCAAAAGTAGGCAAGGCAGAGTTACCGTTCTTGTGCACTGCACACCTACTCAATGAGATCTATTTACCTACAAAGTTTCATGTTGATACCTCTTATACTTTTAGAGTTATGTCCCGGACAAAGATCAAAGTGTAAAATAAACAAAGGGGGATAATTCAAAAATAAGGCAAGATAGAGTTGCTGTTCTTGTGCACTGCACACCTACTCAATGAGATCTATTTAACTACAAAGTTTCATGTTGATACCTCTTATAATTTTAGAGTTATGTCCCGGACAAAGTTCAAAGTGTAAAATAAACAAAGGGCAATAATTCAAAAATTAGGAAAGGCAGAATAACGGTTCTTGTGCACTGCACACCTACTTAATAAGATCTATCTACCTACAAAGTTTCATGTTGATACCTCTTATAGTTTTAGAGTTTTTTCCGGACAAATTTCAAAGTGTAAAAATAAACAAAGGGCAATAATTCAAAAAATAGGCAAGGCAGAGTTACGGTTCTTGTGCATTGCACACCTTCTCAATGAGATCTATCTTAACCTACAAAGTTTCATGTTGATACCTCTTGTTGTTTCAAAGTTATGTCCCGGACAAGAAAAGGGGACGGACGGACGGACGGACGGAAAGACGGACGGACGGACGGACAAGGCGGCGACTATATGCTCCCCCGAAATTTTTTCGGGGAGCATAAAAACAATCCTTTGAAAATGCGAAGGGAAACTGGAAAAAGTCACGGTCTTATATATTTATACATTATTTCACAATGTTCACATTAATTTTGCTTTATATACTTAGAATATATCTAAAACACAAAAATAAAATATTCAAAATGTATTTTTATTTTTAAGTTACTAAAATTGGTCGGAGTTGCTATTTCTTGTAGCTACTATGGATTAAAACAATACCATTATAGCTTGTTTTCGTGTTGGACGAATAGATTACAACTTACAAAAAGTTCCTTGTTTCATTCTCTTAAAACTATTTTTATGTTATCGATTATTACAGAAATAAATCAAATGCTAATGCTATAATTGCAATGTCTCCAAAGTCCTTTGTCATTAATAACACCTTCTGTTACATTGTGAAACATGCGTTTCGTCAAAAAGGCATACTAATTAAGATAATTTACAGATATTTCAATTCTCAATCTCAAATACATTTTACATTTTGAAATTTAATGGACAATGGAGCCAAAATCTGCTTATTTTAAGAATTTACACGACATCATGGCTTCATTTATTGCAATGATCACTGTACGAGTTAAGTGGAGGTTTTGTAACAGCTATCTTATAACTTCTATTACTGAAGTAACTGAGCAATTTTTGTGTAAACAGAACACAATGCATCTCTGTTGATTTAAGAATGTTTTTTTATCAACACATTCATTTTACTCGTTTATTTTTATCCTTTTGATTTACTTGATGACGATGGCATCAAGTTAGCTATATATGTAGTGTTTATGTCTCTTAGCTTTGCTTTTTACATAACAAATATCATTTTTGTGAATATTTTGTTTTTGTTATATTAAACGATTTCAAAAACAATTAATAAGAATACGTAGCTTTGAAAGCGTGTTATGTCCGTAGATATGAACTCACAAAAGACAACATAGTATTCGATTGTGATGAACACAACTTTTATCTGATGATAAACAGATTTACTGTGCTTCTTGAAAGCTTATCAAGTATTCTTGTTTTTCTTTTTGTTTTTCTATCAAAACCAGAATTATGAATATAAGAATATTATAGAAAGTCCTATCTTAAGTTCAATAAACGTATATGTAGGCCTTTCCATTGAATAATGTGCAGAAATCGCCTTTGTTTTTATAAAAACTTGCGCATTTAAAGGCTTTTTCTTTTTAAAGAAAAATCTTGTGGCATATCTTTGGTATGTTTTGGTTGTTATTTCATGTTTAATTCTGAAAACATCAGAGCTGGGATTGGGTGAGAAGGATGGTTTTCTCATTCCAGTATTGTCTATAAACTGCCTCAGCATTTTCAATTATGCCGTTTTGGGTGTTCTCGTAAGATTCTGTTTAGATTATACAAATTTTATTTTAATTCGATTGTGTTTGCAGCTATAAGCTTATTGAAACACTCTCTAATCCGTTACTGGAACCAACCAGTACTAATCAATGCATATAAAGTTCCTTGCTCAAGGAAACAACGTCTTGCCCCTCTACACCGTCAGCAATCCTTAGATTACTACTCCGACGCGTTAACCACTCAGTCTACTTAAAAGATATGATGTTATTAAAATGTAACAAGTATGCTAGAAAAAGATTTGTTTTAATAAATGCCAATTATGCCACAAAAATGCTTTTATTTTATGTCCCAAAAGCATTTTTACTTTGGTTTACTTATTGTTTTTAGCGTTTTATAAATGTCTGGCCGTTAATCGTCATCCGGTAATTAAGTGTATCGTGGATAATTAATTAACAATGTTTTCCACTTTTTTCTCGTATCAATTGGTATTACGACATTCGATTTGATTTAATTTAATTGATAAATATGGGCTCACCTTATGATTAAAATATATTTTTGAATTATACATTAATTTATTTATATTCAACAGATGTATTCATATGTATAACGTACAATGCACAATGCAGAGGGTTGAAAATACATGTTATTCAAATACCAAATCATTTTTATGATAGGCATTGTTGTCAATAACACAATTTAAACAATTCAATAAACACAATAATTATATTTTTACTAAATGCAGAAAACAATTTATATAATCCCTGATCAGTTTCAGATTGATGGCGTTAATGTTTATTAAAAACAAACTCGAAACAAAATTGATCACTTTTATTCGGCAAAATACAGTACTTAAGTTTCTTAATATTTTCTATATAAAGATTGTCAAAAATAATAACTCAAAATCATATGAATGAAAGATGCCGTTCTTAAATGATTATATCAAAAAGGGAAATCTTCTTGGTTACATAACAGCATAATCTTTTCCATCAATAGGCCTTTCTCAAATTATATGCATACTTTACATTCCATCACCAGAGAGAGGCTAACAGGGCATGAATGTAAACAAATAATGTCTGACCTGATAAGCCCTAGTGTGTTAAACTTACTGGGGAAATCTCATTTTTATTCCACTCTGTTATTCCAATTCTAGATATAATTATACCGTTAATTTTCATAAAATACCTAAGGATGTGAGTTTAACAAAGGAAATGATTGTAAAAAAAATGGATGAAAGAACATTTCAAGGTAAAATACCATTGTTACTTAAGTTGTATTACTACTTACATTAATTACTATCATTTCTCATTGTTTTAAATGTTTCATTTATATAAACATAACAATATGTTTGTTCATAAATTTCGTTTAAAATATCACACTTAAAATGATAACATTTAAAACAGAATTGCTTCAGAATCTAAATCAATACAGTTTTATACTAAAAAGCAATAACGGTTATTTTATGTACTATTTCAGATCAATATTTTGCAATAGTTGCCCGTTTTGAAGCATTTCACACAATAAGATTAACAATCATGGACATAAATTCATATATGTCTGAAGAGAACAGATGTACCCTGTAGATGGTTCGACTGGAGTAATAATCAACAGACCAGTAAGATGAACACTAAAGACGAAGATTTCATTACCAGATGAAAGGTATACATACACAAGACTTAATTTTCATTTTTTACACATATTTACAAAGTTCAGCCCCTGTAAAAAAATATATGTGCAATTAAAATATAAATTGATATATTCTAAAAATGGCATAATTCTTGTTTCCATTTCTAAATAAAAGGTACCGGTATATATTTTTCAGGAATTCCACTGGTAACAGTCATGAACACAAATTGACAATTGGTATTTGAATCGCCTTTAATTGTAATATCTCTTCATGGCAGTGGCAAGAAACTATCAAACAGTTCAAAGAAGAATTACAGAAATATAAGGAAGAAAACAAACAGTGATATTGAACGTTTGATACAAACAAAATTTCAGATGTTGACAGTTGTATATTTTGTAATGTTATACAGGATTTCCAACAAAATTTACTATATATTAATTACAGTTTTCAATAGGAAAAACATTAAGAGCGTTTATTATGATGCAAGCAAAACAATCAGCTTGACTGGCGAAATGTTTTTAGGATATTTTAAAGGACCATTTGTTCAGTCTTTTGCGCCTTGAATTTAAATAAAAACTTTAAAACAAATCATCGCATTACTTTGTTTTTAACATTGTGCTTTGTTACATAAATGGTGCAGGGTATATGTCAACATGTTTATTACATCAAATATTTTGTCCTCTTATTGCATTATATTGTTGGGAGAATATGTCTGGAATGTTAAAAGAAGTGCTAAAACTTGATGCTGCTTTTCCTAATACCCTACAACTGCAAGGTATTGCGCAGGTTTTCTGCGAATGTACAGTCCCCTATGTACATGGAATATTTGGGGTTGGTAAGTCCAGGCAACATCCTCTCGAAGTGCCATGTTCCCTAATGATTTGTTATATACCAGCCAGTAGAGGGTTCCAACAATATGACCACATAATCAACTCGTACCAATTGGACAAGTGCAATATTCTAATGATACTTCAGCTTCATGTCATGTTTAAACAAAATATCATTTTGATTTGATAAGGCTGTCTGTAAAATTAACCAGTTTCTAGAGAGTCATCCAGAATTTTTTTCTTTTAAATACAAAGTGAATAAAACTTTTTTTTATTTCCATAGCTAAATTTAGGGGAAGTATGGTACAGAATTCAGCATCCAACTGTTTACATCTATTATCAGTTAATTGCTAAATACACTCTTGACCAACATGTGTTGAGGTTAGCAATAAAATACTGATAACGCAGATAATGTCTATTTAAGTTGCAAAGAGTTAACCTGATATTTATACTGACAAAGAATATTAGAAATTACTTGAAATTATCATAAACTTTAATTGACTTATCAGGTCTTGTATGTCCTTCAATGTATAAAGTGTAAATTAAACCCTTTGATGATTTATTCATCTCCAGAAGAGATCTTTTAATATTAAATATAGTTCATAGCAAACAGAACATTATCAAGATCTCTGACACTGTAGAAAAATCTTTCGGCCATATATTTGTGATATGTTTACATAGAGCATATACCGCAGCTTGCCCCGTTAGCCTCGTTCTGAGAAATCTATGAATATGTTTGAGGTAATATTAAGAAGGGTCTATTGAAATAGAATGAAGGGAAAACAAATCAGGCATTATTTATTGTTTCAATAATAAGATGACAATAACTTTCCTTTTATCAAACTGAGCCTACAATAGGTCTCTTATTGTCATGCTTGGTGACCTTTTCGAATATGTTTTTTCTCATTTAGAATCTTCCTAATCTCAGCAGTGTATTTAGTGTCATGATGTTTTTTATTATTTGACAATAGGATTATTTTGTTAGATTAACATTTGCAGCTAATAACTAATAATGACAAGTCATTTACATCACCAGTGGTTAGTAAGCAATGTGTCTATTCTACATTCACCAGAAAATCTAAAGGCAAACTGTGATCAATTCACTTTCAGTTAAACTTACACAAACTGACCCCCTAATATACTAGTATAATAATTTAGTATGTAAATGAAATATTGGTATTTCAAACACATTAGATATGATTTAAGTTCATACATTATCTAAAAAAAAATATGAGGCAAAAGAATAAAGTAATAAGATGATCCGATTTTTGACAAATGTTATACAATATTAATTTATAATATGCATTTTTGAATTTGGTTAATATATAAATTTTCAACCCCATTATCTTCAACTTTTCTTAAAGTTACATTAAATAAATATGTAAAAAATATTTTGCCGTCGGCCTAAAAAACAAGCATTATACAGTTTCATAAACCTTTTTAACAGTTATGTTGTAAATCTCATCAAATATTGTTCATAAATTAGGATTTTAAACGGAAAACCCCACGGTAACACTAAAGTTCGTATACGAATTTTAACATGCAAATGAAGACAATAATCAGCTCGTGTATGCGCTACGTCACATTGTAATAGTTGCTATCCGGAACACAGTAAATATGAGATTTTCTTGTGAAAACACACTTTAACCGTTTTAGCTTCACGGTGTACTAGGCCTGTTGTTCAGAAAAAAGTAATCATCTCATAAAAAGGATTAAATTTGTATGAAAACATCCGTTACAATGCGGAAATATACTGTTAGATAAGAACTGCTGCACACAGTCATGTTTGTTGATTTAATATTGATGTACGGATGAACCGAGGGCGGAGTTTCTCATGCAAACAGAAATAATTATTATTGTACTTCCGATTTCGCCACAATGAGGTTGCCCATTTTTTATGCTTATAAAACTTATTTGGTTGTCTTGACACCAAAATAAAATCTGGAGTCGATATGAAACCCAATTTATTAATAAAATGTCGCCATTTCTGTTTTTATTAAATTTATTTAATGTAGCTTTAAACACATATTTTAAGTATTTATGATTAGATAAACACAAAGTTAAAAGAATGAGCTGAAATATTTTTCAAATTCGTTTTAATTTCTTTCAATATTTTGATTTATATTGAGAAATTATGTGTCTGTATCTACAACTGTACAATCTAATAGTTTAAGATTCAGTATAAATATTACCGACAATAACAAATGAAAAGTGCAAGGACAACGTCTCTGAAATGACTGAAATTATTGTAAAATTTTGTAGGTTTATTGAATTTTTTTGAAGTCTGTATAATCGTGACATATGCAGACACTTTGTTCAAAAACGAAAAGAAAACATTAGATCAAATACGCCTGAAGCAGTTATAGAAGCTAGATTTATACACGTATATCTTGGACCTAGTTCTTTCTCCAATACTACTTTCACTACCTATACCGTTTAACAAAACGATGATCAAAAATGTCCATTTCAGTGGCATACACGTATATAGAAGCTAGTTGAGGAAATATGAAATTTCTAAATTGACGGCAATGTTTGCTAATAAGCCTTTTGTTCAACTCTATTATTTTAACGTAAGACGTCTTATCACATTTTAGCTTTTAGCATGCACTAGCACATTCGGCTTACACAAAACATGCTGTAACTGCAGCACAGACTTCTTAATTAGTCAAACATATTAAATTTGCCATAACATATTATTGTCAACTAACATTTAAAGACATCACAGTACAATGCATAATAAATGGCAAAACGGCAATGACCGTAATTTTCTTATGTATGCTACCTTTGCCAAAAGTAATGCTTGTATTTACATGAAATGTATGTACAAGGCAATACTCCAAATATATTTTATCAGATGTGTTGATTTTTGCTTATCAAATATTTTTTACGAACAATGGAGCCGTAATCTTCTTATTCTACAAACGAATATGACATATTGGCTTCATTTCTTTTAATGATTGTTGAGAAATTGTCTTGAGTTGAGGATTTGTAACAATTTTTTTCTCATGTACTATATTATATCAGTTTGCAGCTTTGTTTGTTTTTGTCATTTTATCGTGCTCTAGAGGTAGACTGTTCTTTTGTTTCATAAAATATTTGCACAATCATTTTATGGTATGTTTAATTGATTTGCTTAACATGCTTGATATCAATGACGTCAAATATAATTTTTGTGATCCGTATAATATATAAGATATGTTTGTCATCTTCAATAATTTGAATAAAACAAATCAGAAGAATAAATTAACAGCGATTCATGTCCATATTTTTCCAATTCTTACGTAATATGGCGACATTTCTTATTTGTTGACCTACAGTATATTGATATATATTGTGGACATAAAAAGGCCGGTGTTATTCTTCTATTAGTACCTTTCAAATATATGCTTGAAAATATTTTAAAAAATAATCAAATGAAACTTATGCTCAAAGTAGTCAGCTTATTATCGGTTTCGGGTGTAAAAAGTTTATATCGTTTTATACTAAACAAAGCAAACTAAGATTCCTTGCGACATATAATTCAGAAAAGAACTATCATTATATCAATGCGAGTGTAGACAATATGGATGTGTGCAACAATGTTAAACCTCATATATCTAGCATTCATTCGTTGTTAGTAGATAGGTTACCTATTTAAAAGAAATTCGGACCATTTTATAATTTTACAGAAAGTAGTTTTCTGCAAATTTCATTTGTTATAGTTATCGAACAAGATAATGTTAAGAATCAATTGTTCATATAAGAAGCTTTGAGGAGAATTTACAGAATTTGTGAAGCGGTAATGCTTATCCCGGATACGACACATGTTTTACATTTATTAAATTGCTCATAGTTTAAGATTCTTTGACAAGAAAAAAATGAGGGCTTTTCTTAGATACGTACAGCATTTTAAAGTTTGGGGTAAATTTCCAGCATAGTAGAAAGTTTATTCGATATACTAAGAAAAGATCATCTAAATTTGTGAATGTGTAGATAAAACCCGTTTTATTCTAATAATTTTCGAAAGTTCATAATCCAATGCAAAATGTAAAAAAATCAATATGTGTTTCCTACAGAAAAGGACGCTAAAATATAGTCTACAGAATATATAATTGTCAACAATTTATAAAACATGAATGAAGGTAGCATAAAATTAGCATTCTTACATCTTATCGGAGTGTGATTTATCTGAACACCAAGTCAATGCTTGAACACAAATGCATAAATTTCTTTATTAAATGTTCTGAGATATATAGGACACTGAATACTTAGCATATCTGAAAGTACGATGACCTACTTAGACTAACGGGAAAATTAACATAACTGAATCTTAATTTGACATCATCTCACATCTAACACGCGTTTAACTAATTCTATCAAGAACAGCCACTTTTTTTTGTGCCGAAGATTGTGTTATTGACTAAAGTACATTGTGTTTATTTTATAAATATATAAAAAAAACTTCTAATTTTAAGAGCAAAACATAAGAAATTTCAAGAAATTTCAAAGTAAAATTAAGAAAAAAAATGGATTATTAATTAATTTTATAATGTTATGAACGTTGTTATATTCATTAATTCTGTTCGACAACTCGACGAAAATAATGCATAAAATTGATTAATATTAAAGATCTTTTGGGCATTTATTAGTCGCA